AAGATGGCTGAACACTAATGTGTCACACATACATTTGCCTTTGTCAAGGATGGCTGAACACATGTGTCCTCCGTGTTGACAAAGCATCCTTTGTCAAGACAGGTGTGCCTGACAAGTCTCCTCACCTTTCACGCCCCAAATTCTCGCCGAACAGGTGGCGGGTCTACTTTCCAATCGCCTACCCCGCCGGGCGGTCTCCCTGTTGTTTCGCGACCACGACCCACGTGTGACTTGCTGGAAGTGTGGAGGTGCCCCCTCATGTGATGATTGGCACAGTGAGCAAGTAGTCCAAGGTATCAAAAAGGGTGTGTGTGTGTGATCATGGTCGTGATGTATTACTTTGTCACAAAAGCTCAGCACTCAAAAACTGCAGAAAGGACCGTGCCGATAAATGAAAATGCTGCTACAGCTACAACCAAGAATAAACTACAGCAGAATCAATGCTGTATTTGATTCGCCAAAGGCCGCTCCCACTAGCGAGTAAAAAAAAAATCGTGTATATATATATATTATATATATACATATGTCCAACCTAGTTCTAGGGAACCTCGACGGAAAGATGCAAGAACCAGTGGATTCATTTGTCCAGTTTCTTTGAATTTCATGTATCCCTCTTTCACGGCGCAGCTGGCTGCGCTGGTCTTCTGGGTTTTCTTGGTGTTCTTCTTATTTCTTCGTGCTGCTTTCAGCTGCGGTTGTTTCCGTTGCCACAATGGCAACAAAAAACATGAAACTTCTATGACCAGGGGCCTCGCCCGTTTTGGAAGGACCATCTCCCACCATTCCTACCGACCAGTGGACCAGGAATGGGGGCGATGGGGCGCACGTCAAGCGGATCTCCGCAACCGGCGTTTTTGAGCACAACTTGCTTTGCCGGTTTTCACAGGTTGTTTTTCTTCGGACGGATCTTGGAAATCGACGAACGAATGAATTTTGCTGATACGTTCGGCTGCAAACAGAGAGCAATGTTCGTCCCACAGACAGTGGTGTAACTTGGTTTTTTTCCCACTTGGCCCAGATGAGCATGTAGTCCATTGTTTGCTTTTCCACAACCCACGCCTGCGTCGCTGGGGATGCCAACTGCGCAAACTGCTCCAAGATCACAACGTCCGTCGCCTGTTGGGATGGGACGGCTACTGCAGATGGGCAAGATCCCACATTGAGCGTTGGTGAGAGAGAAGTCAGGAGTCTTCGAAGCAAACTGATCCCAGCTCAGAAAAATTGAACTTTCTTTGTTTGGAGATTTCAACGCTACTTGCCGGCCATCCTTTGCCTCAGGGGGGGAAATCACTTTAAGAAGGTGACTGGGTTGTACCGTATGGCCAGCAGGGAAAGAACGCATACTCACTCCACTTGGAGCAACCCCACGACCCAGTGAACCAAGAAAAAAGGCCGGCTAAACTGCAGGTCTATGTGTTCTTCAAGCCAGAATCCGAATCCCTTGTTGTGTGAGCTTCTAGAGTCTAGACTATTGCAAACATGTGATGTTCGCACTTTGGAGATCAAGATGCATTTTTTGTGCAGGGTGGTTCCCAACTGTGGGTTCTTCTTTTTTCTTCATAAGTTCATAAGTGTTTTTTCGTCTTCTTGCTGTGTTGACCACACTGCACACGCGACAAACCCCTTAAAAACCGTGGTTTTGGGCGCTTGTGATCCAGCGTGCGGGTGCACATCTGCAGTAGAATAATCAGAATCACCAAACGTTTTGCTTCTCAGTTCCCTCCGCCATGCGCGCAATAGATCACGTCGAAAAAAGGAGCTTTCCTCCCCTGAGAAGTCGGTGTTGGTGTGGGGTTCCGAGAAGAGGCTGATCATGTTGATGATCGATATCTAAAGGAAATTCCCCAGAACGGAATCGGCCTAATTAGATAGGACTCGACCACTCAAATCTCCTTCCTAACCAAGTGGGCAGGCCTCAGTGTTCTATCAGTGGCGGCTCCTAGATGGATGACTATAGAGAGAGAATGCATGAAACAGCGATTCTGTGATGCGTTGTTTTTCATGTGGTTCAGGACGTTGGCGTTGATAGTTCTTTCTACTTTCATTGCAACTTGGTTGTCGTCCCCGACTGACCTGTCAGGGTTTCGCCCAAAGCTCGCAGGTATGCAAGTGCCTGGATCTCAGTCGGCCACACAAAACCATGAAGGAGGTTAGTTACAAGCAGCATGTGGTTGCAGAAGACTATACCCATTGAAGAATGCCACCAGACAACACGCTATACATGTATATTCCACGTTTGGGCAATCAATGGCGGGGCTCTTGAGTTTCCGTGGCTTTCCATCCCCTATCTCGTTACAGTTTTGTCCCTCACAGCATTTTCGGGTGCTCTTGCAGCGTCAGGCCCAATGCTGGGACGATGCCATCAATCCCGGGGTTGGCTGCTATGCCAGGTGCGTCAACCTTCAGTTTCCATGTGTCTACACTCGACTACGACGCAAAACACAGAGAGGAGCACCACATGAGATCCGCTAAGCTTGGACTGACTGCGGAGAAAATCCGCAGCCAGTCACACAGCTGTGATTAGGGACGCAGCTGTGATTTAGGAGTCACGCCGTTGCAGATACCAAAGAGGCTGCTTTAGGGCTGACCTGCACCTTGAAGGGCAGCTACAGATTGTTCAAGTGCTGAAGTGTTTAAGGACCCAGCATTTCTTCTTTCGGCCGTGGGCATGCCCACCCGCTTCCAGCAAGCGCGCGAGCTCGCATCCAGGTGCAGCGCAGATGCCCAACATGATGCGTGGGTGCTCGGTGGGGAAAGACTGAAGCTTCTTGGATGCTCCGTTCGTAGCGTCCTTGTTCCTAGTAGCGATGCCAGGAGCCCCTAGTAGCTA